AGTAGTTGGAGGATTTATTTTGTCCTTTCAGATTGAATCTGTATAAAGTTATAATTGAAAGTATCATTAATTTCATATTCAAGCTAAGAATCTGTGAATTTTATAATTTGAGCTTGAAATTAAATAAATAAGAAGAATTAGAGATTATAGTGATGTTTGGTCAGCCCACCATTCACTTAAGTGATTATTTTGAAGTGAATGTGTTTACTTTTATCTCTTTGCCTTAGCAGGTCCTTACTTCAATCCCCGCTCTCGGCAGAGAATTCCACGTGACCTAGCCATGTGTGTTACTCCCAGCGGCCAGTTTTACTGCTCTATGTGTAATGTTGGGGCTGGCGAAGAGATGGAATTCCGGCAGCATTTAGAGAGCAAGCAGCATAAAAGCAAGGTGTCTGAACAGCGGTACAGGAATGAGATGGAGAATCTGGGATATGTATAGATTGTCATGTTCAGATAGAACAGCTTGACCTGCCTGTTGTTTACCTTTTGTCAGTATGCCTTGCTTTGTGGTCCTTTTGATATGAGCACATTCCTCTGCTTAGCGTGAATATGTGTAACCTGCAGTGGTACCATGAGATGTCAAAACCAGGGAGGAAAAGAATGTGCATCTTAGGTCATAATGCTTCTTTAGGTCAGTTGTGTTGAGGTATATTTCAGCATGTGACCTAATTCCCTTATCAGAAATAACTTTTTATCCTGACCAAGTTCTGGTCAGTAGTAGCCTGACCGCTTAGAGCTATGACTATTTAGAAATAGAATTCTTCTTCTGTTGTACTTTTAGTTTTATGTACTGTTAAGAATTTTATTGAATTCTTACTTTCGATCACAGTAAAAACATGTAAGCAGAGATTCATGTGTCCCAAGGGTTCATTTGAGTCACCATCTCTTGTGATTAGGAAAATCACAGCTTGTCAGTAGGACAGTCTGTTGTAAACTGCATTAGAGTTTTTCACAAGAATGCAGGTTTTCCTGAATTCTAACACTTTTGTGTGTGTGTATTTCCAAACTGCTAACCTTCATTTCCAGGTGTGGGTTTCATACATTTAAATGATACTTTTTCCCTCCTTTTTTTTTTTTTCCTTCCAGCTGAATCAGCTTGTCTGTCAAGTTCATTTTCATGTCACAGCTGTGCTGTGGGTTTTTCAAGCCCTGCTTTTGAATATCTAATTAGTTTAAGATGGATATGATTTTTTAAAGTATTTTTTTTTTTGCCTGGTTTTAGGAAATGTAAAGATGTGTTTGGTTTTTTAATTGAAAGTTACTTCTTCATTGGTAGTAACATACACTTTAATGATGGCCTCAACCATAAGTCCAGATCTCTTGATATTTTATTTTGGCAGAAATTTTAAGTAATACGATTGTTAGACTTTACTTACAGTCTTTTCTGTTCTGCCAGTTAGTTGGCTGTTCTGAGAATACAGCTACCTATTGTTTCATGGATAGAGAAGAATTTAAAAAAAAAAAGTTAATAAAATTTTCAATTTTGTCATTTCCAGCAGAAAAATACATAAACTTGGGTTTTAGAGCCAGTCTTATAACTTAAAAAGTCTTAAAGGATTCCTTGAAGATACTGACATTATAGATTATTTTGGCATCTGATAATAAAATAAGTATTATTATTTTTTTTCTTTTAAAATAAGAAGCTCTAGTATGTGTCTGTATTAACTATGGAACACTCTGTGGACTTCTGTTAACCATATTTTATCTCTTTACTAAATTGTACTTTACATGGATAAGACTGGTGCTCATTCATGCTTATTTTGAAAGGCCACATTCATCAGGATATTCACCTTGAGCAGTATCTTTCACTATGGTCAGTTCACATTTGATTGCTTATATTACTAAATAAAAACAAAACACCTTTTTTTTTCTGATAATTCTATAGGTAAATGGGTGAGGAGGAGGAAAATTATAATCACTATTCCTTTTCTCTAAAATTTTTGAACAGTTTGTTTTTTAAAATTTTTTTTTTTTTTTTATTTTGCAGTAATCTACAAAATGTATCTGATTAGGGGAATTTAGGGCTTATTTTATGGACCAGTAGGTTACTCATTTGCTGTGAAGTATAATTTTTAGTATATTTTCATATTACCATGCTGGACACTTGGTTCTGTGATTATTTAAAACTCTCATTTTCTGTGTCTGCATATATATATGTGTGATACCATGGAGAGAATTTCATTGAGTCATTTTTTCAGATAACAAGAAAAGCTTGTGGCTGTTAATTTACATTTTGTAAAAGTGGCATTTCATTCATTTTCAGTATTTCCTTTGCAAATAAAATTACTGACAGTTTCTCTGCTCTCCCACTTAACGATCTTACTGTGTACATACAAAATTCATTGGACTTAAGGGCTTGATTTTTTCCCAGGCCTTGTGTATTCAGGTTTCCAATTTCCCAGTGCCCTTAATGGATGTTATGAATGCATAAGCGCATTTTCTTTTAAAGAAAGAAGTTAGATTTATAGTGTTATTTTTTACTTGCTATATTTTCTTTGCACTAAAAAAGAGCGATGTGTTTGTTTTATATGACACTTTAGATACCATATTGCCTACAGTAACTCAGTTTGCTCCTTAATTTGCATACTCTAGGAAGTAGGTAAATAACTTCCATGATCATCTACAGAAGTACGTGTACATCTAAAAAAAAAAAAAAAAAAATCCACAAATCTTTATGACAGTAGATTGTGTTTGGGCTTGTTACCTTGCAATATTCTCATGTGTTCTGTAGTTTAAACAGAGGGTGAAAAGAGGCTGGCAGGCAGGAAATGCCTAAGTAAATACATCTCTGCATGGTACACTATGTCACACTCATGCGTTCCTTATAGGCAGCATTTTTTCCCTGTCCAAGCAAGCTGTTGTTACTACTGCAGTGAGTGACACATGATCTCCATTGGTTTCATTTTGTGAAGCCCAGTCCTCTCTGTAATGTACTGGGATTTGCACCCTGTGCTCCCCAGGAATCATGTCAATATCTTTTCATATGCTGTATACAAGGATGGACAGAGACTTAAACAACTCTGACAACCTTTAGTCAGAAAAAGGAAGTCGATTTCAGTAATCATTTGCATCTAAGTCTTTTTTCTCTGTGACTGTCTTTGTGTAAGTTGTCATTCAAAATCACTGTTGGAAGATAACAGAAACACTTTTAAGGTATTGAGGGCAAGAAGGTATAACAGAAAAATTCCATATTCCAATTTAAAGATTGGATTGCATATGCCTCCAAAGTGGGTTTTTTTTTTTTTTTTTAAAGGAAAGTTAAGTTACAAAACTGAGTGTGCCATGTATCCTTTTGACTCCATACAGAACAGAAAATACTTTGTTGGTCTTTTCTTGAATATCATGTACTGGAACTTGTAAATATGTGCATTTTTTTTTAATTATTATTGTTTGCTTGTCTCTTATTGCACTGAATTCTACAAGATCAATTTTTTATACCATTCATTTTGAAAAAGTTCCTCCCCCAACTCTTCCTCACTATTCTCCCTTCTTAATTAGTAAACTTAGAAAACCATTTAGAATTTTTGAAACTCTGAAGAATCATGGCTACCTGAGATCATTCTTATGTCCCTCTGACTTAAATAGCTAAAGGGAAGCATGGTACCTTCCCTTCATTTTTACAAAGCTGTTCTGCAGAACTAGCATGCTTACTTATAGATAACTATCTACAGTTTTAAACAAGGAGAAAAGTATATGTGTGTGTATGTGTGTGCACACTCATATATATACATACATACATACATGCACTATTTGGTTAAATCATCCTCTGCAGACAGAGTCTAAGGAATAGCGGTGGAATTCAGTATTCCCTCACTTTGAAATTGATTGGGACTGGAAGCTATGATAGTTGCAGGACCATCTAACATATGTAAGATGAGTCAGACTTATGTACGGGGATATATGCAACTATTCTACTTAGGATTCTCTGCAGAGAGGCCCAGAAACAGTAGATTTGGGACCTAATGTCTTTTGTTTCCTCAGAGTTGGAACTTAGATGGGAAGTACTCTCTTAGAAACTTTGTGAGGCATGTGTGAAGGACTATAGAGCTTCTATAGAAATGAGAACCGTTCAGTCAGTATAGACAAAAGTTTAATGTAGGCTTTGGAACAAAATATTTTTTAAAAAAACTACCTTTTTTTCTCCCCAGCCATATCATTGTTCAGGAGTTTCATATAAAATGTATTTTGTCTTGTTGGGGGAACCCCTGCCATTGTGAGCTGTTACTATCCATCTAGCTGAATGGACAATACCTGTATAAATAGCTGCTCATAAGACATTTCTACTTACAGCTGTTTGACTTTTTCTGCCCATGATGGATGGGAGAATCATTTGTAACCTCCCTTCCTGGGTAGATACCAAAAAAGTACTGGCTTATGGTCCCATGTGACCCTGTCTCCGTTAAGCCTAGAATATGAGTGCCTTTAGTAAGTGTTAGCATTTCACAGAAAGAAGAGATGACAGAAATATTGCCATTAGTCACAATTCATAAAACAGGAGCTTGGAACAACAAAGATCTATGTCAGTTAGGTGTTCTAACTCCTTTTTTGTTTACTTAAATACAATCTCAGTTTGATTTTTAGTAAAACTTTTATTGTTATTGAACAGGAATCATGCCCCCTTGTAAATGAATATGGTTGCCTCAGGCTCCCAATGATCATAGATTATTTTTTGACATTGCTCTGTGTTACATTTCTATTTAGTGAATGGCAATATGATGGATCGCGGAGAGCTTGTCACTGATGTTTGGAAAAGCTATTCCAGTGCTCTTTTAAAAACCTGTCTGTTCGTTAGAGAGTAGAGAGTGATATATTTGCAAATAAAGTGTGTAAAGAATCCGTTTTGCAAAATAATGTAAATTGCATTAGTTTAGCTCGACATTTAATCCTTTCATGACCTAATTATTTTCTGCTATGACTTTTTTGTTGATACCATGGGAAGCAGGTATCAAGGGAGAAATCTCTTTTTGCGGTAATAGGGATTTTGATATAATTATATGGGACACCAGGTAGACTCTGGAGGTAAGATTGGTGGGGTGAGGCCCATTTCTTTAGATTCATGCTGTTCCACAGATCTTTGCTAGGTGGTAGCACATACTACAACTAGGATAGCAGCTTCCCAAGAAACCTGAGAGGCTGAAAATGTTGGTGGGTGATATATCCCATGGGTCATGAAAGGGTTAAGGCCTTTTAGAGGAAAATTTTCCCCATTTCAATTAATTAAGGAGCTCTAATGGCATAGTGGTTAAAGCATTTGACTGCTAACCAAAAAGTTGGTTCAAACCCACCAGCCCCTCAATTAATTTAAAACTCTAAATTGTATGAGTACTTTGAGACTTTAAGACACACACTGCTAAATTAATTTTATTATAGAAATGTTAACATTTTATTATGAACATTTTCAAATATACCTTAGAGCTGAAAAATTTTTATAATCTACAC